AGCAGCAGCAGTGGTAGTAGTAGTAGTAGTAGTACTAGTAGTAGTAGTAGTAGTAGTAATAATCGTCCAAATAGTTAGTATCATGAATAATAGAGCCATGCTTGGTAAGCACAAGCTTGGTCGCCTGCAGACCTGAAACTCCTAATCTGGGGAGTGATGCCTATTATGTTCAAGCCAAAAGCAACGAGCCTGGCAACAAGCGCAGCGCCGCCAGAACCGGGCCCAGTCTTTGGCTGCCAAATTGGAGCTGCCGTGAAAACCTCCGGCGCCTGAACTGGTTGACATGTGGAGACTGTTTTTTCTTTCGGCTTTGGGTGAGGAAGCTAGGGGAATTTAGACAAATCTGGCAGAGCCTCAAGAGCAGCCAAGGCCAGGGTGACCAACACTGCACATAGCAAGCGGCGATGCAGCGGCTGTGCTTTGGAGGGCATGGCTGCGAGCAGCTTCTGGGCACTAAATAGAGCAAGCTTTGGGATCTGGCGAAAAAAAATCATGGAGTTGAGGGTGGTCCTAAATCCAGCAGCTTTGAAATGGTTCCTGGGCTTCGATCACCAGCTTTGGATAGAAATAAGTTTTGAGCCAGAAGATGGGCCGCATTGCCCGCATTGCTGCCGCGAAACTTTCCCCTGCTACGGTTGATACTAAAATCCCTGCATTGCATGACACTAGCATCGTCCTTCGGAATTATGATAGCAACATGTACTGAACTCATGCTACATGTGTGGTGTCTCTTTGCCTTACAACACTCCGCCCAAATGAGTGTTGGGATTGAAGGTCCATATGAGAACTATGACAGGCTCCAGACAACAGTACGTCTCAGCCTGAACCTCTAAACCCTTAACCCTCCAGCCTTTGTGGGCATTGATGGAAGCATACCGAGCCGTACCGGTGAGGCTTTGCAGTGACCTGCCAGGCACGACGGGCAGCTGTTCTTTTATATGCCTATGGGTTAAGGGTTTAGGGTTTAGGGGGGGGGTTCCCAAGGGATAGTGCCCCAATAATAGAAAATCAAAGGGAAAAGAACATGGAAAACGAAATGGAAACTGGATAATGTAGGGATTGGGGTCTCCCAAAATTACGGATACTTTGATGGGGTCCCTGCAATAAGTAAGGACTACAGCTTTGGGGGGCCTATCTATATTGGGGCCCCCTTATTTTGGGAAACTAGCAAAAGTATACAATACTTCTGTACCATTCTGTACCAGCCCACATCAACCCACCAGTCGCCGACCTCATAGGTGCATGCTGCTTGTCTCGCCAGTACCTGTACATCTGGAGTCATGTGTGTCACACAGGTCAACCAACTAGAAGCACAGCCAGGTGAGAGTACACCCAGATTGCAGTGCCGTGGCAGAAAGGTGAGGATCGAAAACGCTCATTTTATTGTCCATTATCCCTATAGTACCCCAATATACTATAGTAGTTTCCATTATCCTTTCCATTATCATTTCAGCAACAGCTGCCTTCGACCAAGGCCGAAGTCAATCAAATACAGGATGTGGACCTTGCGTCCGACTCCAAACCTTGGCGGCACAAGCATGCGCGTCGAGATGAATGAGCATGATGCCTATTCCAGGCTCTTCTCTGCGAAGCTTCTCAGCCAAGCTGCATGAAATTTTCCGGCTTGATGTCCTGAGATGCCAACGTCGCTACATCTACCCAGTCTACCAACTGCAAGCAAGACATGGGATTCGCATCTCGGGCCGCAACGGGACCCCTACTCTTCCAACCCAAAAGTCCGAGAATTGTCCTGTAACCTCTTGAACATGTCCCTGCGCGGACTTTACGCTACTTGGGGGGTCAGGGGGCTGTGCAAGTATACTTACAACCCCTACAAGCTCTGGTACCCCTTCATACCTAGTATTTTCCCCCTATCTACCCTAAACCCCAACCCCCATAAGACCCTCGCAGTACGATTTTGCCAGGCGGCTCTGTGGATGAGGCCAAGGGAGTGAAGAAACTCTAGGCGCCGGAGGATCTGATCGATAATCAAGACCTGGTTTAGGGTTATTAGGGTGTAGGGTATAGGCTTTACAGGGTATAGGGTTTAGGGTTTCGGGTTTAGGGTTCAGGCACGCGCATTGCACTCAGCAGGCACGGTTCGTTCCAGGGTCCCAGCAAAGCTAGCCAGTTTAGGGTTTAGGGTTTAGTGTTGCAGTGATCCCTGCCAGTCCCCGTATCCCCCTAGGTCCTGGGAGGTAGTCTATTCTGAGAAACCCCATATAGGATGCTTCCTTAGAGCAGCTGAATGCTCAGACTATGCTCTGTGACGAAGCTAGCTAGAAACCAATTTCTCCTCTGGTTTGATTCTAGTTCTTTTAGGCTAAAACTCTTAGGTATCTGGTATGTATATCGCTAGTGACCGGGGTGCGGAGTGGGGCATGATCGTCCCCGCGGAGCGCGCATATGGTGATGATAAATGATAAACGATACCAGCCAGGGCTATGTGATTCTGTTTTTTCTTCCCCATGCTTCCAACATCGGTCCACCGATTCTGCTAAGCTAACGAACAATCCCGAAAGTCTGTTCGAGCTGCTTGCCGCAACTGCACCAGCCATTCTCGGATCATCGTTTCCAGGTCTCAAGCAAAACCGGCAAAGCTGTTGTGATCAGCTCTGGCTCTGCAATGTATATGGTCGGGCCGAACGCGTGTTATTTTTTGCTGCGGAGGCTTGTGAAAGAGTGTCATGCTGTCCTGTAGTGCCAAGGTATTGTATCAAGATTCCGACTAACATGTATGAACATGCACCGTCATCCCTGACACCGCGATCTTCCTCCAAGCGGCGCAAGATTGCGGTGTAAGCTTCTTGCCACACTGCTGCATTCGGTCCTGTACGCGAGCACGCGCTAATCTCAGGTGCTTCTGCAGTCCATAAGCAAAAAAGGCTGTATTCTCTCCAGGAAGGCAGCATGTCGTGCTGTGATGGAAACATCAACGGTACTTGGCACCTACCAAAACCGCTGAACGAGGGCCTGGCCTCTAAGGACCGTCCAAGCAGCTCCATTGCCTGAAGACGCAACAAATGCCAGAGGCTCAGTAACAGAATAAGAAAGAGGGGCTGCATGCTTCATCTGAGCGCACTGCAAGACAACTGAAGCGGCCCTCCACCCCAAACCTTGGCAGACATTTGCGACGTGGGCAGACAGCTGAAATCAAATACCATGTCAACCGAACAGGATCCGTACTATGCGCAGCGCGCACCATGGGAAGCCAAACCTTTCGACAGCCCCCTAATTTGCCAGGCAACCAAAATGGCTTGGAGAAGCCCTGAACGTTTTCGTTGGCGGCGCTGATGATCCGCAACGTGTCCTCTCAACTAGTTCAGGACTGGGATCCCTCCCATAGTTTCTGGAACATCCCTTATGTTGAAGGCTTGGGATCTCAGATCAGTGCCATACGAGCGGCCGAAAGCTACTAAACAGTCTAGCTCCAAGGTGTTGACGTAAATGTTAGCAAACGCCATCGCAGTGATGAGAAGGGACAATACAACTCACAAGCAACAGCACGCTAGCAACAATGCTCACACAGTGTCACTACCATGCAGGAACAGAAATCGAAACAACGCTGACGGCAGATTGGTTCACGTGTCATTCCTGTCCACTCGCCTTACTTAGGGGTTTGAAATATTATGGGTACCATTTTGCAGATCCCCAAAATAAGGAATATAGAATATTTGGGTCTATATTGGGGTCCCCCTGTTCGTCGAAGCCACCGCTATCTACAGGTCAAGCTTTGCTAACAAGTAGGCATAAAGGACTTCATCATGATGCAAGCAGTGCATGTTGCCATCACGGCATGTTTTGTAACAAGCCCTCCCGTCATATTCCGTCTTCAGCTGGTTTGGAGCACCTTTCGCTTGATTATCCTCGAACTTTATGGCAACAGTGTCCTCGGCACATGAAAGCTGGGGTAAAGTAGCCAGTGCACAAAAATAATCATCGAATCTTGCAGCCGCATTTCAGCCGGGTCAATCCACATGAGCAGCTTTTGGCAGGCAATGGAGTGCGGAGGGCAAGAGTGACCGCCCCTGAATTTAAGACTTTAACTTTTGTTGGGGTCCCGTTTATGCACCAGCAGGAGTCCCCATTATCAAGCTATGCGTTCAGCTGCTCAGCTGCAACCGCTTGCTTTCTCCAAGCTTCTCCGGAGCTCTTTTCAACACCTGCCAGCAAAAGCTTGAACACTGGCGGCTTGCATGTACCTCTTGTCTAGCTGGCGTCGTGTCTTCCATCAATCCACGACACATTTTCCTTGTACAGGATACTACAACTACGAGCTTGATTCTTCCGCGTGGAAGTCTCAGCAAACCTAGCCGCATCAAGGGCCTGGCCTTTCCACACTTGGCCAAAGCATCCGGCACCAAGTGCTTTTTGAACTTCGAAGCGGCCTCAGGCACAACTGCTCAGTTTCAGCGTTTAGGATACAAAGACCACGAATGTCGCTCTCAGAAGCAGGGCAGGGCGGACAATGTAAACTCAAGCGTTCAGCTTCGCATCAAAGCACGAGCCATGCAGTCCCAGGCAGCCCAGGCACCATTTCCAATCTCTTTCGGAGGCTTTGGAGGCATGGCGGCATAACGACTTCTGAGTCTGTTGGTTACTGATTGTTGAGCCACACGCCACCAGACAACATGATCAACGTGCCACGGACAATCAAACATCCGAACGCCAACAGGTCCCCCTGGCCGCCGGCACATGTTGAGTCTGCTTTCAGATCATACAAATCAAGAGTCGCTATTGATATCCCTGAAATCGGCCCCGTCTACACGTAGATGTGGCCATTGCCCAGGAAACGCCGACTGTGTAGGAACAAGCAAGCCCCTGGCCGTACAAACAGGGAAACCCTGGCTTCTTTGAAAGTCCACTTGCCGTCGAAGGCTCATCGTAATGGCCTCTTGGAACCAAGGTCACCTCGCATTTGCAGCAAGGATTGCTATTGAACACTATATTACTCCAGCTAACCGCTAGAAAAAATTGACAACACCCAAGCCGGAGAAATGCAGCTGAATGGGAGTTGGAACCAGATCATCTCAAATCAGCCTTATTGAGGCCTTCACAAACACAACACGTGCTTCTTGAGCCAAGATGCTCGAGACGTGGAGGTCTTCGGTATATGAGGCCCAGTGTAGCCACTGAAGGGTCCCTGCACCAAGGTCCGGATGGGGAGAGCTCCGTAGCCGAGTAATGGGATTGACCCCAGATAATTACACAATTACACTAATATACGCTCATTCTAGTGATCTCTCGATCCATACATGTTGAGCTGGGGTCTGGGGCTGCCAGGAAGGAAAGGCTTGATGAGTTGCCATGTAGCATGCAAGCATACCTAAGGACCATCAAAAAAGGCGTGCTTATCCGCTGGCAACCTTCTCGCTTCCGTGAGAAGAAGAGGAGAGCTGCACGGACTTGAAGAAACTTGGATACAGACCTACCTCTACAGGTCGTCAGCAGCACATTGTCCTGGCTGGCAATCCTTTACCCTAGGCCTTACACGTACACGCGAACAATGCACGCCTGATAAACTGGATACTGCCTCTCCTCAACATTTATAGTCAGAATGAGCATGAAGTACAAATACGGCAACCTGCGGCCGTGGCCTGAAGTGCCACGAGGATACGAGGGGGCTGCTTCCCGACGATCCTGCGTCTGTCCTGGGCCTGCGGGGATCATTGAGGCCTTCTTGGGATTGCCTTGATGGCGCCGATACTCTCTTGATTCTGATGCCGTTGTGTGGGGCGGGCCGGGATCTCAGGGATAGCGAAGGAAGGCTTGGCTATCGCTGTCATGATACAGACGTTAAAAGAGCAGGCATATTCTCTTCTGAGGTGGCCGCAATAGTTGCGAGCCCAGGATAGCAACATAGCAAGACATAAGATGGCGACTGGTCTCAGCCCTTGTTTTCTGCCTGCTGCTCAGCATGTGCAGATCTTGCTTCCCGAGGTGATGCCAGACATATACAAACCCACTGATGGAGGATGCGCAGGAGAAACCAAGAATCCCCAGTGCCGTTGTGAGTCGTCAAATCTTGCGCTCAGTTCGCAACACCCGGGAAGCCATCGACTGTGATATCTTTGACAGTCTGTTGGGCCTGCCAGTTGGGCCTTCAACAACTGTAGCCACTGAGCAGGACTCTCAGGAGTCTCAGGACTCTCCAGCTTCCTTTCATCTCATGGGAGCTAAGAAACCCATAATTCGGAGTCCAGCTCTGTAGGGCACTGTGGCAGTGACGACCTTCACAAAATTTCAAGTGAACGCTGCCAGCCAAGCAAAAGTGCAGTCTACGTTGTGTGACTGCAACGGTACAATCTGAATTTGCCACCACAGAAATGTGGCATCACCAAAAATGCTAGCTCCTAGGACCAGGGTAGGTTGATAGCTCCCCTCGGCTTGGCTGGTCTGCAAGACGCAGTCAGCATGACAAGAGGGCCCAAATTATGCAGTTCCATCTAAGGCCATACTACATTACAGCAGCTCGAGCTCTGCGTAGACTGGGCGGTGGTCGCTTTGCGCCGCATTGCCCTTGCCCTGGGCAACTAGGTTCCAGTGCTGCTCCGAGTAGAAGATAGCATCTACCCACTCACTGACGGCCAGCCTGAATCCATTCTGCAAGAAGTGCTGTGGGCCCCTCTCATTCATGTTGGCGTTGAAGTCACCGGTCACGACTACTGGCTCGTTACCAGCCTTCTCACGGACAACGTTCAGCATGTTCTGGGCTCCCGTGTAGCGCACGCCTTCATTACAAGTTCTGCCGTTGCCGGTGTGGACGCACCAGTGAGTGTTGAAGTGCCAGAAAGTTCGCCCCGTGTCCTTGTGAGCAAGCTGGACATAGGTAACATATCTAGGGCCCCACTTGCCTGTGGCCTGCAGATCCCTCGAGCCCGAACTGCCAGGGACCACCCGGAGCCGGGATGGATCCATCATGACGCCTTGGGCAGCGGAGAAGCGCGAGGCTGTCATCAGGCCAGTCGAGTCCTGAATCCTGGAAGGGTTGTCGCACTCCTGCAGCCCGATAGCATCCGGCAAGAGCTTGTCTTTGATGTTGGCGAGAATCTGCTCGCTTTTCCATGGGTTCTGATCGAAAGCGTTCCACCAGTAGATGTTGTACGAGACCACCCGAAGCTTGAAGTAGCCGCTGCGACCTGTGCCAGCAGGAGCCGTGGTGGTGGCAGCGCAGGGCATCTTGAAGAAGGTGATGCATGATCCTTTCTGTCGCGTGGGCTCAGAGCCGGTAAAACTGCGAGCCTTCAAAAAGCAACCCCACTCCCTGCAGAAAGAGATGCTTTTGCAGTTGGCATTGTCACTGCAACTGCGCTGACACTCTGACAGGGAGAAAGTGGAAACGTCTTCAACTGCAGCACCCTCATCCTGTGCCAAGCCTGGCAGCTCCCCATAGCAGCTGGACTCTGTGGGCACCGGAGGTGCAGGGGGTGCCGGCGGTGCCGGCGGTGCAGGGGGTGCAGGCGGTGCAGGGGGTGCAGGGGGTGTTGGGGGTGCTGGGGGTGCCGGGGGTGCCGGGGGTGCTGGGGTTGTCGGCGGGGGCGGAGGGCTCGGAGTGCCACCCTCACCTCGTTCGCAGGTGCAGAGAATGTCCGATGTGCCTGAGATGGCCTCGTCGCAACGCTTCTCCTCTTTGACAATGCAGTTCTCATTCATCTCTTCAGCTGCTGAAGTGCATCGATGCCCAAAGCTGGAACAATACCTGTCGCATCGGCCTCCATAGGGATCAGCCTGGACAAGTGCCCGGCAGCCGCCACAGGTGACGCCGTCCACATCGGGCCACTCAGCGAAGGGTGCACAATCTTTCACCTCTGGTTGGCAAAGGATGTCATCATCCCCCTGACAGCGCGTGTGGTTGGCAACTAGCGTGTGCTTCACCCGGCTGTTGAACTGCAAGAATGCTGCCCCTCTGTTCTCATTCCGCTTGCTGCATTCCCCACTTTTTTGTGAGCTAGAGCCCCCCCCATGCTTGGCACCGGCGGCAGTGGCGATGACAAGGAAGAGCCGAACGCAAATCATTGCAAGGAGGGATGTACAGGGGCAGGATAGGTCCAACTTCAGCCTGCCAAATGGCTGCAGCATGTATTCTTCGCGTCTCAGTTGGCAGGCAAGTTGCAATCCGCTGGCGCCACAAACTACACAGCTCCGGTTCATACATCATTCAGGGCTCCTCCGGAAAGATATCGTCGAAGGACTGACCTTGGCAGAATCATTGTGCATTTTTCCGACATGCTTAAGACATGATACAGCTGCATAGAGCCCCACTTATGGGCACACTTCTGAAATGTCACTCTTTCAAAGGCACAATTGGAAAGGCGGCAAAGTAAGGGTATGCGAAGCATCGCCTCCCAACATCTCCAACTTCTCTTTTTGAGCAATTTGCTTTGCCAACTGCGGGCAGCCAGGAACAACTCCTCTTCAAGAGGCTCTTGCGGCACAAACATGCACATGACGCGAGTTCACAAAACTTTAGGCTGCTTAGCAGATTAGCAGCTAAGCATGGCATAGTGGTTCAAGAACCTACACTGCTCCTCGCTCATGACGTCTGACAGCGTGTAAGCTGGTGGCCCAGCACCGATGCGGCAAAGGCGTGGAAGCGCTTCGGGCCCCCTGGAGTAATTGATGCTTGTTGGCTCATGGGTTGCATCGTGGATGGCCGTGGCAAGTTGTCAGCAAACGCCGTTACCTTTCTCGGTATCAGTTTAAAGCCAGGCAAAGTCGCAAAGCCCATGGGCTCAATCAAGCTCGAAGACTGCAAACCCTGTCAAGTCTAAACCGCACTGAATCAAATATGCCTTGCTGTGACCCAAGTGGCCTGCCCGCAGGACCACCTGTGAAGCTGCCCATCCTGCCTGCAAATCCTTTCCGGCGGATTGGGGGCTTACCAAGAGTCACATTCCCTGAAGGTGACTCCTAAGACTTAAGAGCGGCCATAGGGCACTCGACTCTGAATCCTGACCCCTGAACCAATTGGTGTGTTCGTAGATTCTCAGCAGAAAAGCAAGTAGACTGTACCTTCCACGTAATCCTAAATACTTCCTGTCAACTACAAGCCTACGCCCACATCTTGAGGTGGACCCACCCCGCCTTTGCCGCGGCCGCTGCCAGCCTTCGGCTTCACCTGGGGCTCCCAAAGCTGAGGCTTCAAAACTCACACGGCCGAATGCAAATGAAAATTTCAAGTTTGGTTTTGAGTTTAGGCGTTTGCCACTTGCATGGCCATACAGCAGGGCAAGGTCTGTATCCGGCTGCGCCGCTCTGAGACTACACTCAGGGAATGCGGAAATGTGAGCAGCCATCAAGATTGTTCAACCAGCTGCAACGACGTGGCTGTGCTGCTTGCCACTCAGCACATGCCCACTTCCAAGTTTCAACAGGGAGAGCCACTGTTCGATGACTACAGCCAGAAAAATCCAGTTGCGGATTCAGGTGACAGCATGAGCAAGTGGCTTAAGGTTTGGGGTTCCACGCTGAAGCAAAATCCTGTGATAAGGCGTCTGGAACAAGAAACCAAAAGGCTCCAAACAGAATCCAGGTCACCGCTTGGTTCTTCGGGGGCCTGCCTCCTCTGCCCTTGCCAGGCGCGGCCTTCGGGCCAAGCAAGAAATTTCAACAATAGATCCCATGCTCAGAGGAAGGGAGCGTCAAAAAGGGGCCAAGGAGCTGGGTAGTCAGAGGGGAGCCATTCATACATCCATCTAGTCCGCGAGACCCTACCTTGTGGGGAGGGAACACCAGCATGCCAAGTCTCTCTGACAAGTTGCCCCTTACCTAGCCTAGAGAGCACCGCAAATACAGGTTCTAGCCAGAACCACACTGCAGTATCTTGAGAGGAAACCTCCACGACTTGCCCCTTGCCGCAACCCTCAGGCGCAGCGCTGACGATACACCCTTTCCCGTTTCGGCTGGGGCTCTAACTTGATTACATCCACTTGGGCTATACTCAACGTCTCCCCGTAACGGCCAGTTGCTGACCTAGATGAAGCTGATCCTTCTTCTTGGATTACTCCTCTTCCTGGCTCTGAACTTCAGATTCTGTATGCTTGCATGGTGCTAAGTATGCTTTCTATTCGACAGCGGCTGCTGCTTTTAGTGCTCAGCCAACATGCTACCACACGCATGGCATAGGGAGTACCCAGGCTCACTCGACGAACACCCTTGCATAGTTCTTTCTTTGTACTATGACTGCCAACCTAGCCTTTTTGCATAGCAAAGGTCAGAGTCATGACAACAATGCAGGCTGCATGCGACAATGACAGCCCTGCCCCGTCTGTCCAGGCAAGGCTTGCTTGCTTGCTTGTTTACGAAAACCCCAAACCCTAAATATGAGTTTCCAGGTTCTTTTCCATTATGCCTACATAATCCCTACATACTCCAATTTGGGAACCTTTTCCATTATGCCTATATAACCCCTACATACCCCAATTTGTGGGAACTTTTTCCATTCTGCCTATATAACCCAATTATTACCTCAATATAGCCCCAATATAACCCTAATATTGTAGTAGTTTCCATTTTCTTTTCCATTATCCCAATATACCGCAATTCCTATAATCCCTAAATAACCCCATCATAATAGTTTCTATTTTCTTGTTCGTTATCCCTATATAACCCCTATATAACCCAATTTGTGGGAACAACCCATCTTCACCCTCAACCACATGCTCGGGGCTCCAGCCCTTGCCTTGGCCTTCTTCGCCTTCTGCTTTGGCACGGCCTCGGCTGAAAGCAGCTGGCCAATGAGCTATAGTCTAAATTCCTTGAAGTTGGGGGATTATATGTAGGGGAATATATTATCGCGGTTTTAAGGGGGATGCTAGGAGTTTAGACTATAGCTCAATGGTGCAGTGCGTAGGTGGTTTCGGATAGCTTCAGCTTACGATTCTTGCCTGATTGGGATTTGTGTTGTCCTATTGAAATCGGTATGCACAGAAATGTAAGCTTCAGGGCGAATATAGTAGATGGTTGAGGCGTCAAGGAAAGCCTGGTATCAGAACATAACCATGTAACACGCATACTTCAGGATTGACTTGAACAGACTGCAAACCCTCTGTTTCACAATCATCTGAATAGTCAGCAGAACCAGCAGCACAAAGGTTATCACCAAGCAACCAACCCGTCACGTCAGCCCATCCCAACATGCAAACTTGTTGAAGCTTGTGGCCCTTTTGGTGGTATTGTGTGGCTGAAAAGCAAAGGCTCTACAAACACGGGCTTTCGATTCGCCCGAATGAAAGAACCACACAAGGAGGAGCCTCCCAGAAGAAAAACCATCATGAATGGCAAGCAAAGCTTCTGAGTACGCCTTCGCTCTCGGCATCTGATCAGGGGAGACAATAGCCAGGCTTGTGAAGAGTACAGTTTTTTTAGTTTGGCTTCCCCCGTCTCTTGCAGTTTGCGCAGTTTGCTTCTCTGGTACGCCATGGCCACAATCACTTGTGACAGCTCCTCAGAAGCCATGCGCGGCTAACTCTGCGTTGACCACATCCCTGCAGCTCCAATTGTGTGACCCACAAGTCTGCCCCAAAGCTGCCCCCAAACCCCACCCAGACCCCGGCCTCCTCCGCGAGACAGGGGCACTTGACTTGAGCCCAAATCTCTTCCTACGAAGGCCCTAGCCGCTAGCCGGTCGACATGCGTGCTGAGCCTGCCTTTCATGATGCTTGAAAAAACCACACGCATCTTTATGGAACGACCCCTGCATTAGACAAATCAACCCAGATTTAAAGAATGCATACGACCCGCTTCAACTTGTGATTGCAACGGCCCCCGGCCAGTATCCCCCTGCACTCCTTACTAGCATGTCATTCCTTGAGCGTCCCCCGTTGAAAGCCTACCCAAAACCCTGTCAGTGCCTCCACCGTCTCCATGATTTCTCCATCCAACGTACATTCAGATCTGTTCGAGGTCGCTTCTTAACCGGGCATCCAGCCTGCATCCTCCCTACCATGCGCGTCAGTACAATAGAGTTGCCGGCCCTTCCAACCCTGGAACCCCGAACATGTCCCTTTCATGAGCGATAGTCTCTGTTGCTTTTCTTTGGGGTTGGTGCAGCAGCACTATCCCCCAAGTACTTCTTGCATGTGCCTCAGGAAGATGCGTTATGACCCGTCACAACCTTCTTGCTCTAGTCTAGTTCCCAAAGATTTCACGTACTGCTTGGCAAAAGGAAGCAAGACCTGCTGGGCATCCTCGAAGAGGGCCTTCGCAAGGGGAACAGGCTGCACTGGATCACCCCCACTACTTTAAAGCATGCCCTGAAGAACAGCAGCTCGATGACCTATGATGGCACATGGCAGCCCAGTGCGCACCTAAACATGTTCCGAGTTTCACAGTTTGGTCTGGGTCTGGAGTTCTCAGCTGCGGACAGAAGCCTTCTGTTACTTCACACTGCTCCCCGCGCAGGGCCCTGCCTTGTAGTAGGCAGCATCGCCTGCCTTAAGTTCAAGCAAGGCACAGAAGGGCGACTGTTGCAATCTTGAATGCGAAATGGTTGGGTACACTGCGCACGTCTCCGGCAGAACCCACAAGACTTGTCATCACAGACTGGGATCACACGCTTCTTCACAGTTTCAGATCATGACAGGCTGAAGGCATCATCTGCGACCTCAGGCCGGAACTGCCTGACGCAACTCCTTCTACAAGCTGACATACGCTTGTTGAAGATCGTAGCCTTCGTTTCAAGCTGCACAAGGATTTGACTTGACATGCACTGTCGCAAGCCATCGCAACCAGAAAAGATGAAGGGCATGCTAACTGCCATGTAAACGATATGTAACCATCAGGTGTACAAGAGTCGGACCATCAGACTCACAATTCGCAGAAAAAATTGCAATGCGTTGCTGAATTAGGTCGTCCAAGTAACGATATGGCCCTTTGTGTGATCTCTTATCTCTACCCCCATTGTTCCGAACACCCCACCAACCCCCAACCCTTAATAACACTCCCCTTATGAAGTTACAATGTAAGCACAAGTAACGCTTTATGAGGAGGGGATTATGAATTTCTGTGCTTCAAACTGGCCTGCTTGCTGCAGCGCGCAGACCTCAGCCTTTGCCTGTC